GTTCAAATCCCTCTGTGACGGAGGACATTAGCATATTTTTTTATTACTTTTGCTAAACTTTTATAACTTTCTTTGACCTTTATTCACTCACATACTAACAAATGTCCTTTTCTTCTTAAAATGCTACCAAACTAAACTAAATGGAAGGCCTTGCTACCCAGATGGATGTAGGTATGCATGATTCCTGGCATCGCCACTTGAACATGTGTTTTGACCTTTCTATAGATTTGAGTTTGCTTTTTTGTGATAGATGTTCAGAAAATGTTTAGAATGGTTTTAAAAAAAAACTTGTATCCTATCAACCATTTCATCCTGTCCTTGTTCAAGTCGTCCATCCTCAAAGATATCTTTGTGATTTATAGAAACACTTGTTTGTGTCTTCAGGTTGACTGCTATGACCATCGTGAAAATGGCTCCCATGTCCTTATTGGAAGCTTCAGAGCCACACTAGCAGAGATGTCCATGCAAACACACACCTCCTTTGTGAGTTCCCCCACACAAACACACAATTTTTTTTTTACTTTAGCCATTTAACTTAATCATTCATATGTCTTTGACATAATTTTTTTTTTTCAGGCAGAATTTGAATGCATCAACCCAAAAAAGTTAGACAGCAGCAACTATAAAAACTCAGGGGTCATCTGCATAAGGCGTTGTCAGGTAAGAAGTAAAAGAAACACCATCACAGCTCGTTTTACAATACAGTAAAACAATGTGCAAACAAATCTTTTCAACTGCTATCACCAGCTGCAGCTATTCCTGTATTTCAGTTTCCTTTTCTAGGGTCAATTTAACAGGCTAGGTGTCAGAGGTTAAGAGTCATAGGGACAGGGGTACGAATTTGGCAAACAGTCAACTATAAAGTAGGTACAAAGCTAGATTAAGGCATGTACGAGGAGACGGATGGCAAGCAGCTTTGTTTTGTACTCTCCATAGTATGTGTAGGTAATGACAGTTAATGTGAGTTCTCTCTTCAGGTGGAAAAGGAATACAGCTTCCTGGATTATATAATGGGAGGGTGTCAAATACACTTCACAGTGAGTTTCAGTTCACCCAAAACTTGTCTACCAGTTGTCAGTTCTGTGTTTGACAACTTTTGTTGACTTGTATCATCTCTCTGCTTTGTCTCAGATTGCCATTGACCTTACAGCTTCTAATGGGGATCCCTCGTCTCCTGAATCCCTCCACTACATCAACCCTGTGGGCCATAATGAATACCTGCAGGCCATATGGGCCGTGGGTAATGTCATCCAAGACTATGACAGGTAAACCTTTAGTCAGACCCTGAGAATGGTTAAACCAGAACCAAGGAGGAGTTGGAGTCATGTCGTCTGCAGTGACAAAACCACCTTTTTGTGTTGTGGTATCTTACAATTTTGACATTTAAAAACAATCCTAGATACTTTTTAGGGTTTATTGTCTTTACTGTTAACCATTTTCATTATTCTGGAGGTGAGTCTGATCTGTGAAGACATAATGAAAGATAGAGTTTAAATTACCGGTAGTTTTGTTCTTTTTTGGTTCTTCTGATGGGGTAGAAGTAGGGCAGCCGACTTGGGACCAGAAAATCCCAGGTTCAATCCCCAGCCATTCCAATGTGTTTTGGTGTCTCTGAGCAAGACACTTAATCCCTAATTGCTCCCCAGGCTGCCCACTGCGCCACCTGGGTGTATCCCAGGTGTGATGGGTTAAATGCAGAGAACTAATTTCACCATTGTATGGGAACATACAATGATGACAACACATAGCACTTTACTGTAAAGAGCTTCCTGTATACCTCAAAATATGTTCTTTTTTTTCTTTGTGTAGCACCAAGATGTTTCCTGTGTTTGGTTTTGGAGCCAAAGTTCCTCCATCCTATCAGGTGTGTACATACCGGTATATATCCTTATACATCTTCTACCACTTATCTGTAGTCAGTTTGATGAGTCAACAGGTCCAGGAGGACCTCCCTCTCCCCAGAGATGAAGGGAGCTCATTTTAGCCACTTGTATACGGGATCCCTGTCTTGATCAGGTCCTCATGAGCAGGGTGACTAGGTGAGAGTTGGAACGCAGACAGACCAGTAAATTGAGATCTTTGCCTTTCAGCTTAACTCTGTCTTCAGCACAACTAACCAAAGTACCACCCTCATTTCATTACTGAGAATCAGTCAATCCATCTCCCTCTCCAACCTTCCATCATTTATGAACAAGATGTCTAGATACTGAGGTGGAGAAGTGCTCCCCAGAGGTGGCATTCAACCTGTTTCAGGTGAAGAAACACACTGTGCAAGCTAAAGGTCGTGACTGAAGATGCCAACAGAATCTGCATAAAGCAGACAAAACACTGAGCTTTCCAAACCAGACTCCCTCCTCTCCTGGACTACACCTTGACATCTGGTCCAAAAAACAACACAAATCACAGTCACAAGCACCACAAACAGGATTGTGGGCATGGACAGCCCTGGCAGAGTCCAACCAGCTCTGAGAACAAACTTAACTTTGTGGCAAGAATGTGGAAACAGCTCTTGCTTTGATTCTACAGGGAACAGATAGTCCTTAACAGTAACCGCAGCACTGAATGCCTCGGTCATATGGTCATAAACCTTCTCCAGGTTCACAAAAGCTATGCTACGTTGAAGATCTGGTCCACTGTAGAACCAAAGCCACACTTCTCATCCTGAATCCAAGGTTTGACGATTGGTCGGAGCCTCCCCTCCAACACCCTGAAGTGAACTTTCCCAGTTACATGAGGATAAATAAATGGAAAGCTCTCAGTTTAGGTTCACATTTTTATATGAACACTTTTTTCCAGCTTTTGCTGCTCCTTTCTTCAGGGGTCCTTACATCGAGCAAACTCATCTAAAATATTTGACAACTATTTTGTACCAGAAGCACTTTCTGACACAGTTGGGTCGCAGCTGAGTAGTTAGAGCAGTCGTCCTCCAATGGGAGAGTTGGGGGTTTGATTCCTTCAGCAGTCACATGCTGAAGTGTCCCTGGGCAAGACACTGAACCCCTCATTGCCTCTGATGTGTGTCCCATTGGTGTATGACTGTGATAAAGCTCTGATTAGTCTACAGATTCAGATGATCTTTGTAGAGATGTAGTAGAGTGCTGTATGAAAGTGTGTGTTGGAGGTAAATGAGGACGCAGATTATGTTGTAAAGAGTTTTGTGTATCTAGATCATTTATAAAAGTGCTAAGTAGTCAATTTTCCATTTACAATTAGAGCTTGAACTAGCAGCCTGCAAACTGCAGCATTTAATTCAGGCTCTTAAATAAACTCTCGTTTACTGATGTTTAAAATTTTATTTAAAAAATACCCATTCTAGGAAAAGAGTACTTGTTTTGTACAAATTAAACAGCTCAACCTTTTTACTATCTTCTAATAATCTTTCAAATCAGCTATATGTTGTATCTTTTAGTCATTTTTCAATTCCTGCTGACAGGTTTCCCATGAGTTTCCCATCAACTTCAACCCAACAAATCCATTCTGTTCAGGTGGGTTCAAATAGATTTTGAGTTTATAATTGACCATCTTATGTTGAATCCCCAGTGCTACCTTGTTGGACGTGTGTGGGTTGCAGGTATAGAAGGAGTGGCGCAGGCCTATCAGCAGTGTTTGCCACAGTTGGAGCTCTGGGGACCTACCAACTTTGCTCCTATTATCAACCATGTGGCCTGTTTCGCCAGACAAGCTCTACACCAGGACCTGGCTTCTGTAAGCAACAATAGTATCTTGTCTAAAAAAGTTAAATCTGGTCCTCCGGACATCCAAAAAAACAAAACAAAGCAAAACAACAAAAAAATGTAGAAACGTTTTGTCTTTCATCCGAAAGACTTCTTCAGTCTGAGGTGCTGTGTTCAGTTCAGTCTCTTAAATAGCACCTTCTCAGAGTGGATCAACCAGTTTTGCTGCTGACAACCAAAACCAGCTGATCACATGCTCAAGAAGGACCATCAGCCTAACAATGGATCATTAGCACACTGATGGCTGTTTACTATTCACAGAGGGCTGAGTGATACTAGCAATCACAGCATTGTAAGAGGGGGACAGTTGAACCCGGAGGCCTCCACCCCTGTTTAATGATGAACGATTTCTTTTCACAAAGATGGCCTCCTTTCCTCTCTCAAACCATCGTTCCTCTCTATCCAGGATGTGCACATCTTCATCCCTGAAAGAGTGACCTCTGGCCTGGAGATGAGTGTAGACCGCAGAGTCCTGGCCTGATGATGTTGATCTTCTGTGCTGGGCCATCCTTTTGGCCAGTGGCTGTTTTGTTTCCCCGATGTAAGACTGATCACCCTCCTGACACTGAACAGCATACACAACATTACTCTGTTTGTGCCGGGGGACTGGATCTTTAGGATGAACCAGTCTTTGCCGTAATGCATTTTGGGGTTTAAAAGCCACTTGGACGTTGTGTTTAGAAAATAAACGTCTCCGTTTCTCTGATACTCCCGCAACATATGGAATGACCACTGGTCTGGCTTCCTCCTTTTCACCTGATGGCTGACTGGAGTCCTGTTTGGGTTTCTTCTCTGCTTTCAGCTTTCAGGAAGGCCCAGTTAGGATATCGTCTTGTGTTGGCTCTAGAGCTGACACAAGACATCAGCTAAGACACGGTCCCGTCTCAGCTGTGGAACAAGATGGCTAAAGCGTTAGCCGTCTTGTTAGCCGCTAAGAACTGTATCTTTAGCGATATGATAAAGCTGCTGATTTATCAATGTCACGCTACCTCTTTCTGTTCCTCTAAGGTTGTTTTCACACCTGATAGTCCGTTAGACTCAGTTCTGTTGGGGACCAATATTCATAACATTTTGTAACTGTTGCGTTTGCATTCACACTGCACTGTGCAGTCGAGCCAACCTGTTGAACCAACCTATTCCCCCACTCGCCTGTGGGGGCGCTGCACCAAGAATTACTGAAAGAAACGACACAAAAACCTCTGAAGACACTTCTTCTTCTTCTTCTGGAAATAAAAACAAAAATGGAGTGGTGTCAAGTTTTATCGATTTTAGGAGCTCTGTTTTGTCATTTTTCAACCATGGACTCAGCATGAGTGGAAGATGAGGCACAAGACCATGGAGAATGTTTTTTTTCACACAAGTCAAACTGACGGCTTCGTATGAAGTAAGAGAAATGCGTGTTTGTTTGCCCTGTGCTGTACTCCATTTCCTGCTTGTGGAACGGGGTCTGGTCTGCTTGCATTCTCACTGTACTCGAGCTGCGCTCGAGTTTTCTTCTACCAGGCTAAGACCTAGGTTTTAGACCGGGCTAGAGTTCGCCTTTTTGTTCCGTGACAGAGTTCGATGGCGAGTTCACACCTCCCAAAACGAACTGGACTTCCTAGGCAAATGGGCTAGAGTTCAGGACAGCAGAGCTGGTGTGAATGCACCTTAAACAGATACAGATAACGTTAAAAATGAATCGACAACTCAACATGCGGAGCCGACATTATCAGAGCTACAAAGCACCATAATGGCAGCAGTCTGTGAGAGAGCAGATCAGTCTGACAAGGCTGTACAAGCCCAAATTAATGACTTAAAACAGTCATCGGAACTCTGCCACCAAGAAATAACTGATCTGAAAAAAATTAATACCACGCTGCAAGAACGCTGTAAATTCCTGGATAACAAAGTATATGAACTGGAGCTCAAAGTCAATGATGCAGATCGTTACAGCCGCCGACTCAACCTACGACTGTATGGTGTTCCTGAAGGCAACAATGACAATAACATCAAAAAAACTATCCAAGAAATATGTCAAGAAGTGCTACCGGAGACCGAAGTGGGGACGGTGCTTTCAGCAATGGACGTCATTCATCGCATCGGCAATCTTCGACAACGTGATGGAAAAACCAAACCACCTCCACGACCGGTGATTATCAGATTCCAGAACAGAATGGCCAGAGATGTGCTGTGGAAAGGATCCAAGAACAGCAACTACCTCAAACAAAACAAGCTCAGCTTTAAAGAAGACCTGACCGCTGCAGATAAGGAGATCCGAGGCAAGCTGTGTCCAGCGGTGGAAGAAGCCAGGCAGGCTGGTCGCTAAGCATATTTTGTTGGAAACAGAGCCCATATTGAAGGAAAAGAAATTAAGATATGACAAGGGAAAATATATTTTTCTATATGCTTTAATGACTTAAAACCTCCACTCCAATACGAGATGGAGAAGGTGACAATCATACTAAGTGCAGATATGCAAATAATAAGCAGTTACTTGATAGTTTATACAGGTAAGTTCTGCTTTTACTCAAGGAGCTATTGTTAGTGTTAGTTAGTGCTATCGTTAGTGTTAGTGCTATTGTTAGTGTTAGTGCTATTGTTAGTGTTAG